GCTAGTTAGATTACTATCCCAACACTACTCCCCCACCAAGTGATTTGTAAGCTCGCTAAAAATTTATTAGGGTTCAGCTTCCTATTTTTATAAGTTATAAAAAGGTCCAATTTATTCTTGAGGAACCCCTGTAGGGTCTTAGCTCACAATTCTCTGTGTGGGCCTCCATGTAGGATTTCAGCTCATTATTCTCTAAGGGAGCCCACCCATGTAGGGTCTCAACTCGTAATTCTTCATCTAAGCTCTCTTAGCTCGCCATTTTTCATTGGAGCTTTCTCAGCTCATCATTCTTCATTAGAGCTCTATGAGCTCATCATTCCTCATCTAAGCTCTTTTAGCTCATCATTCTTCGTTAGAGCTCTATAAGCTTGTCATTCTTCATTTGAGCTTTGTTAGCTCATCATTTTTCATCTAAGCTCTCTAAGCTCATCATTTTTCATCTAAGCTCTCTAAGCTCATCATTCTTCATCTGAGCTCTATGAGCTTGTCATTCTTATCGAAACTCTGTGAGCTCATCATTCTTCATCGGAGCTCTATGAGCTCATCATTCTTCATTAGAGGCTCTGAGCTTGTCATTCTTCAACTAAGCTCTCTTAGCTCATCATTGTTCATCAGAGCTTTATCACCTTGTCAATCTTCATCGAAGCTCTGTGAGCTCTTTATTCTTCATCGAAGCTCTGTGAACTCGTTATTCTTCATCGAAACTCTATGAGCTCATCATTCTTCATTTCAGCTCTATAAGCTCATCATTCTTCATCTAAGCTCTCTCAAATTGTCATTCTTCATCTGAGCTTTGTCAGCTTGTCCTTCTTCATTGGAGCTCTCTTAGCTTGTAATCTTCATCTAAGCTCAGCTTGTCATTCTCCATCGAAGCTCTTTCAACATGTCATTCTTCATTTGAACTCTATGAGATCGTCATTCTTCATATGAGCTTTATGAGCTTGTCATTCTTCATTAGAGCTCTATGAGCTCATCATTCTTTGTCTGAGCTTTGTGAGCTCGTCACTCTTTGTCTGAGCTCTGTGAGCTCATCATTCTTCATCTGAGCTTAGTGAGCTCATCATTCTTCATTTGAGTCTCTCAACTCGTCATTCTTCATTTAAGCCTATGAGCCCATCATTCTTCAACTAAGCTCTCTTAGCTCTTCATTGTTCATCGGAGCTTTGTGAGGTTGTCATTCTTCAATTGAGCTCTCTTAGCTCTTCATTGTTCATCAGAGCTCTGTGAGCTTGTCATTCTTCAATTGAGCTCTCTTAGCTCGTCATTATTCATCAGAGCTTTGTCAGCTCGTCAATCTTTATCGGAGCTCTATTAACTCGTCATTCTCCATTGGAGCTCTATCAGCTCGTCATTCTTCATCAAACCTCTCTCAACTCGTTATTCTTCATTTAAGCTCTATCAACTCATCATTCTTCATTAAAGCTCTCTTAGCTCATAATTTGCAAGCCAAGCTAGGAGACAATACTTTGTTCTAAGACTCATGCAGGATCTTACTCCTTTCTTCCCCCTGCAATCAACTAGATCAACAAAGCAATAAAGGTTTTTATTTGTTTCCCACAAATAACACTAATTATTTGGGCAACTTCATGAGCTCTAGTTGACCATAAGGGGACCTACAAAACAAACCCGTAAGTTGTCCCTCGAGGTAGAGACCTTGACACCCAAGTTAGCAATGTTCTATACTTAGGGCTCTTTTTAGAGAGAGGAGTATAATAGAGAAAGAAGGGCTCTGAAAAAAGTCCTCACCTTTGAGGGGTGTGGGGGGTATTTATAGACTCTTTAGGAATGCTTCACATGTGTTGCATGTCTATTGGTCCCTTTGGATCCATTTGGGTATATATGAGCTCCATAGTGACTCATGCATGTGTTTCTTTGTATTTGAGTCTCATGGATCTTTATTACATTTATGGTCTAGTTAGATTACTATCCCAACAAGATGCACTCAAACTCCACTTAATATCGAAAACATAAACAACTAATGAATCTACTGTTTAATAGTTCGAATTGTGCAAAATAAGGATCCTTGGATGTGGAAGAGCTCCAATATTAAGAAGCTTATCCCTTATTTGAAGATTTATATTTTATAGTTTAATATAGTTTGAATTGTAATTTCAATCACTAATACTTCATTCCTTCAACTAAAGATGACTTTTTTTTTTTAACTATAAAATTGAGATTAATAATCAAATGATAAAATTTCATAATTATCCCTAATAAACTAGTCCTATACTATTTAAATAAACATGATACGCAAGTAAAGTAGATTAAGGAATGGTAAAATGTTAACTCTTAGTATATAACCCAAGATAAAAAAAAAAAAAAAAAAAAAAACACATTTATATAATATGTGTTGTAATTATTTTATTAAAATAAATATAAAATAAAAGTAAAAAACATGAAAACTAATCTTAAACGGTGGAGTAAATAATTTTATAGCATAGGAATAAATATATATATATAGCAAAGGAAAAGCAAAAAAAAAAAAAAAAGGGGGAAAATTTCAAATTTGGGCCTTGTATGGGCCTCCGTTAACAACTTCATAT